GGTGCATCTGTCTTTTTCAAACTGGGCTGCTGCATTCTTAGGGTAAATTCCTAGGAGTGGAATTTCTGGGTCAAATGGTATTTCTATTTTTAGTTTTTTGAGGAACCTCCATACTGCTTGCTACAGTTGAACTAGCTGACATTCCCAGCAGCAGTGTAGGAGGGTTCCCCTTTCTCTGCATCCTTGCCAGCATTTGTTGTTCCTAGTCTTTTCTATGTTGGCCATCCTAACTGGTGTGAGGTGACATCTCACTGTGGTTTTAATTGCATTTCCACATTTAATTGCATGTGGAGCATCTTTTCATGTTCCTGTTGGCCATCTGAATTTCACAGCCTCTTAATGGCCCTGAGTGTCTGTGGTCTATGGAAGACTGTGCCTGAGGAAGGTTCTCCAGCAGAACATTCAGGCACAGGCAGATCAAGAAGCATTCTGCAGGCTGGGGTAGGGCGTCCTTGCTGCTCCTGTCCATGTATTTTTATGGACCAGTGAGCCTGTCTGATGCTGGCCTCCTCTCCTTCTCCAAGGAGGTAATTTCATGTCACTATTGATATGTCTTACTTCATAGCTGAGTAGAAGCCTCTGATTAGAAAGGACATTGATTTAGGTTAGCAAATATTTCTGGGGCTGTGAAAGTCCCCAAGAGGGTCAAAACTGTTGGTCATCAATACCTGAGCTCAGTGAAGCATTGATTAGGGAAGGCATTTTTACTGCTGATGCCAGCTGGAGACACTAGAAATCTTGACTGAGGGATGGTGCATCAGTTTTCTGGGGCTGCTATAACAAAGTGCCACAAACTGAACAATTTAACCAACAGGAATTGATCATTTCACAGTTCTGGAGGCCAGAAGTCCAGATCAAATTGTTGTCAGGGATGGTTTCTTCTGATGGTGATGAGTGAGAATCTTATTTATGTGCCTCTTCCCCTCCCTCCCGCCCCCCGCTTGCTGCTGGTAGTTTTCCGGAAATCTTTAGGGTTCTTTCACTTGTAAAAGTGTCATCCTGACGTCTGCCTCTGTCTGCACATGGTGTTCTCCAGTTTTGTGTTGTCTGTGGTTAAATTTCCCCTTTTTATAAGTACACCGACCATATTGGATTAATGGCCACCCTACTCCTTTGGGATCTCATCTAAACGAATTGCATCTGCATCTCATCTAAGCTAATGACATCTGCCATGACCTTATTTCCAAATATGGTCACTTCTGATATACTAGGGACTAGGACTCAACATAGGAATTTAGGGGGAAACACAATTCATCCCAAAGTAGATGGGAAGCTTGAGAAGGGCCAGAGCATGAGGAGAAATGCAGAAGCTTATATCAGACTGTCACTCCTTCCCATTTTCTGTCCCCAACACTTCCCTCCATCTCTGTTATGACTAACAGATGATCCCTCTCTTCCTATCTTTAGAGATATATATATATATATTTTCCCTGAAAAATGGTGGGACTCTTCCAATGCCTGCTTTTTTATTTCTTAAAGATATTTATTGCTAAATTGTCTTCAAGGAAACTGCCAATTTGTATATCAATGTTTGAGGATAATTGTACCCTCATTAGCACTGTATTTGCTATGTTTATCATTTTTTTAGATAAATTTTTTATTTTTTGGATTCACATTAGGATTAATTATAATCTACTGTTACATGAGGAACATTATGTTTACTAGACTCCCCCCATCAACCAATGCCTGTTTTTTAAATACAGTTTGATAGACATGTTCTCTTCTCCACACCAGCCCCCTGAAATATTTTTAAAGGGTTTGACTATAGGAACCAGGTCTCAAGTTTCTGTTCTTTTATTATGGTACCCTTTTTCTTCCCTCTCTTTCCAGTGCTAAATGAACAGAAAGAACTCAAAGGTCTTTTAATTGAATTGAATTCAGAGGATTCTTCCCCACCCCCCTGCCTTTAACAACAAAATAGCGGTGTGTATGGTGGAACAGATCATATTTTTTTATTTCTAGTAAACAACATTTTCAGAGGACAGCATTATGTGTATTAATATTGAAATCAGTAGAAACAATAAGTAGAGATCAACATTTTTTAAAGTAACATTTTCTCAGAAATGCGTGTGTTCAGATCATTGAAGATTATCTCTAAGCAACTGATCTTGGAAAGACAATGTTTGAAGAGCCCTTTTGCCTCATGAGTGTGACCTGATACGAATGACTGAAATAAATTGCTCTAGTTTAACTGAAAACAAGTGCATCGCTATCGCAGAATTCTAATAATTTTCCTATTCACTTAAAAAATTTGTGTATAGTAAAACTGCCAGGGTTCTTTTGAATAGGCTACTTTCTCAAAATTCACATAGTATCCCAGTAACACAAAGTCTTAGGCATAATAATTATATAAAGTCTCTTTTTTTCAATGTTTCCTAAAGCCTCTTTTTGAAATGCCTTCTTTAAAATAGTCATCATTGGACTATTTTATGATACAGGATTTTATTGGTGTATGTTGGTTGTCTTGAGTCCGTTTGCCTAATGATGGTTGTATGATGAATGGGGGCAGCAGTGAATGGCAGTGTATGTATGGACTACCAGTTATGCTGAAGCTCAGGCTCCTTAAAGCATGCTGGAGGAAACTAGCAATTACCCATCCCTCAAGCTGGGTAAAAGCTAAACAAACATTGGATGAAAACAAACAACAGACAAACCATTATGGCTTTGCTGACTACTGTGGTTTAGTTAGCTCTATTTGAAGACTTTTCCACATTTAGCCCTCTCTCTACTCAAGGTGTAGGAATCACTTTCTTGTTAGTAATGCACGTATGGATCTTACCTTGGCTGTGTCTGTGTTACAGTCAATGGTCTAAACCTCCTGGCCGTTAACCTACAGCACCCTGGCACGTGTCAGCCCTTCACTCTCTGTTGCCCTGTTACCTGGTAAAGAACTCAGACTGTTAATGGTTGTACCTAGATTTGTGAGTTATTTGTCTTCAAATGTTGCCTGTGAAGTCTTCACTAGAGCCTAATTTTTTTTAGAACTCAGAAGACATTGATTTAAAGATATTAGCTGATATTTTACAATTATTTCAACAGATTTAAACATTTTTTTCATCAACTGTGCTAAGTCAGTACATTACACAAAAGTTAAGTAAATGTGTTTTTATTACCACTTCATGTGAGGATAGTGAAACCTGTCCCGATTCTAAATCTGGGGGATCCACCCAACCCAAGGCCTTGGCACACATGGGGTGAAACGGTCGGTTCAGGAGCACTCCAAGGTCAATACTCATCATGAAATGGGTATTCTGGATGATCACTCCACCTGCCAAAACAAATTACCAGAAGGGAAAAAGTTTACGCCCAAGGTTGCCCAGCTGTATGTGTTCCTAGCATCCTTTGACAATTTCTCTGACCATCTCCTCTCCCTCTTACTCATCTCCTCTGTTTCTTACCCACTCTCCCCCGCTGTTTCCCCCCAAGCCAGCCCCTTTTACCAAAGCCCTGCACGGCACCCTTGGTGTAAGTGTGTGTGTGTGTATGGGAAATAGAAGACTGGTTGCCTCCACATCAGCATTTGGCTCAGAACAAAAGCACAGGAGATGAATGATGCCTGCCTCCCATTTCAATGAACCACACAAGCATTTCTCTCCAAAACTCAACTCTCCTCAAGAGTTTCTGCTTGACCACCTCACAGGCCTCTTGAGAGTTGAAAGTTTGGGATCTAGAAAAGTGATTGGCAAAGCGAGTTTCCATGATGCTGCTGATGGTGATGATGGTGATTAACTTATCTAATAACAATGGTGAAATAGTCTGCAGAGTCACTGGATGGTGTGTGTGCCCATCAGGGGTCATGTCTAAGATCTGGTGCTCTGCAAGTGCTATGAGCTTTACATTAAAATTATAAAAGACAAACAAAAAGACTCTCAAATGCCAAAGATCAACTGGATGAAAAACACACAAGAATCATGGCCAAGCATCCCTAAGTGGTACATTTTTTTGAATAGGGGGGCCTAATCTTTGTTTCTGCTTGCTGATTTTTCTGTTTTAACCTGGTGTGATGAGTCATATTCCCAATGTTGCTAGCATTAGGTATTAAATATGTCAAATGTCAAACCAAATAATGTCACCAACTAACTGTAAAAAAAAAAAAAGCAGTACCTAGGTGGATTGACTATTTCTTACTGTCTTTTCTTGATTTAATGGTATTTTTTCAATACAGATAGTTTATTCAAGAGCTATTAGTTAACCTATAAGTGTTTGTTAGTTCTGTGTGTCTTTACTTTTTTGTTCTTGAGGGGAGGCAGTACTTTTGATGTTGAATACTTTTTTCGCTGGGAGAATTCACATTAGGAAGCTGTTTTATTAATCAGTAATGAATTCAGAAATTCAGTATTTGCATAGGCAGAGCACTTTCTGATTCATAAAAAATAGTAGGACTAATAAGATAATGAGCATTTTCTAAATGTTCACTTAAATAGAGAACTGCAAAAGGAAGATTACTATCCAGGTAATTTCAAGAACTGGAAATACAAATGAATGATTAAGAAGAAAACAATGTGTGTATATGATATGTATGTATGTGTGTGTGTGGAGTACACACAGAGAGAGACTATATTCTTTTTATATTTTCAAGTTCCCATGATATTTAGAGAACAAATGGCTACTTTAGCTGAATCTTTTGAAGGCAACATTTTGAAGAAGTCTAAGGAATTTTGCTTGAGGGAAGTCAGCCAATAGGTGGAGTTAGCAGCTCCAAATCTTATAAATTATAAAAATTTTAAGTATATAAGTATATTTAGACATTTGTCTAAACTCTAGGTTCTTGGCTCTTAACCTGGTCCTCTTTCTACCTACACTCTCATGCGTCTCCCTGTTGATAACCTTGCTCTAATTTATGTATCACTTTGATGTTTAGGAAGAAATAAAGGTGTTTGCATATTTATGCCATGGTTGTATTAATGCATGTACACCGTAACTTAATTCTCCCCAAGGTGTTTAGCCTGCCAGGCCTTATCCTAAGTCATGGGATGTCATAAATGACAGAAATCTTCTTTTAAATAATAATGTAGATCTGTAGGAAGTTCCTGGAATGGATGTCATTCACTTAGACCTGTTTTATATTCAGAACCTGCTGCCCACTGGCTTTTTCCCTTGTGCTGTCTAGGGCCATAGGTCTGGGTTCCTAAGAGCCCTGTTCCCCCAGAACGCACATGAGCAGTTCCACGAAGCGGACATTTTTATTCAAGGCTTCAATATCCTTCATTTCCTCTTCGGTGAGAAAAAAGTCAAAGATCTGAAATAACAGAAATAAAAGACCTTTCTGAAGGTACAAGCTGAGTCAAGCTTGGAATGAGGGAAGGAGCCAACAGTGAGAACCCTTCAAAGAGTTATGAACATCTGCAAAGATTTATGACCATCCTTGTGAACTCTGAGCTCAGGAAGGAGGCATTGGGCTAGTGCTGGGTTGCCACCTGACCTGTGTAGAGCTGGAATTCTGTTCTGCCCTTTGTCTGTGAGACAATCCTGCTGGGACACCGTGCCAGAAATTCCAAATGCTTGAAACAATGAATTTTCAGGATATCTCCTGAAATTTTATTTCTTTTTATTTCTGGATAAGTTGCTGAACTTTTGATTCTGGACTACAGCCCATACACTTAAAAAAATATAATCCCTAGTGTTTAAATTTGCTTATATATATTTTTAACTTTCCGTTTGCTTTATCCTCTTAATCGTTTCTCTCATGATTTTTAATCTCTTCTGCCTTTTAATTCTAATTACATTTTCATTGTTTCATTTTTTTTCTTAGCTTGTACGGTTTATACTATGGTTTTGTGATTGTCATTTATTAACATTTTTATATTATATTTTAGCTTATTTATATTTTTAACATTTGGTTTATCTTTTTTGTAATTTATCTATCTCTTTTATTTTAGTAATTTACATTTACAAATTTTAAGTATATAAGTAATACCTAAATATATACTCTTTGTAAAGAAATGGAACACTACAGAGGTACACAGACATGACTGGACTAAAAAAATGGGGGCTCCTCATGTTATCTACCACCCAGTCCTTCCTCTTCCCAGGTATTCCTTCCAAACATTCAATACTCTAAGAGTAAAATGCAATATTGTATCATAACTTTATTAATTGCAACTTTCTTTCATTTACATTGGTCATCTTTTCTGTCAAAATTTAGAGACTGACTTGATTTATTTAACCACTACATCTATAGTATAGATGTAGTATAGATGTAGTATAGATGTAGTATAGTATAGATGTAGTATGATTTACTTAATTATCCTGCAATGGATGGTTTCCAGGTGCTCTTTTTAGGAATGCTTTTCTTTTATTAATTATTATCTAACTATTGGAGTTTATGAGATTGTGTAAGGAATCAAAAGTTTGTATAGCATAAAAACAGTCATGAATGAACCAATCACTTACAAAATCAGTCTTTACTCAAACTTCCTTCCTGGTTAACACGAGGTCTGCCTGTTTAGTGTTAGTGAGTCAGTCTCTGATGCCAGTGAATATATAATGTAACCTAACGACAAAGTTAAGTTGCAAATCTTGTCAAAGACGTAGGATTTCATGAGTGATCTTGGATTTACTCTAATTATAGGCCCAATCTTTTTCAGAGAAGAATATGGTGCCAGTTAGAACGCACTTTGGTAGATATATCGAAAGAGTATGATTTGAAAAAAAAGTCAAAGGATTAAGACTCTCCAGAGGAAGCCTTCTGAAATTTTACCACAATGATTCTTTTTAAGATCACTTTACAAAACCTTTGTAGAGCTTGTCATGTTGTGTTATCATGTAATCTTGTCAAGTGTATTAAAAAGAAATCAATACTAAATCACTCTATTTCTTCTAAGATTTAGTGTATGTATGCAACTGTAACTAAATTTTGATGAGTGTAAAACAAGTAAAATTACTTTCATAATTTTTGGTTTCAATTTCAAGATAAACTTCCAAATTCCCCTTCCCTCCATTATTTCTATGCAATGTTTTTCCTTACTTTATGTGCATTGATTTTCAGTGGTCTGTGTTTTTTTTTCATGGCATGAATTAACCTAAGTGAATGAGGATTTTATATTACAAAACTGAGCACTTGATATTCCCCTCTCCCCACCCCCAACCTGCTTCCCTTATAGTAAATGTTCAAGAAGGAGAGAATGTTAATTGTATTAAATGCTGTTGAAAGATCTAGACAGGACCGAGAACTAGTTATTGGATCTAGCATTGTGGAGGTTATTGGTGATTTTGTTAAGCACTATTTCACAGGGATGACCAGGGGGAAAGCTTGGTTTCAGTGGGCTTACGAGAGAGTGGGGGAAAGAGACTTGGAGGCAGTGAGGATAGAATACTCTCCTAAGAGGTCAGCTGTAAACAGAGAGAAATGGATACCAGCTGGAAAGGAAAGAGAGTTTAGGTTGGATTTTACTTCTTAAGATTGGAGGTTATGGCACATTTGCATGTTGATGGGGTTTTTGCAAGAGAGAATAACAATTGATAATGTCCTAGAGAGAGGGTGATGTTTGTGGATTATGGAGGGTTTATTAGGTATTAGTAATTGCAATTTCCAAGGAATAACCATGAGAATTAGTGGCTGAAATATATAGGACAAGATCACTGTAAGAGAAGATGTCAAAGAACTGTCAGGCCAGGTCACTGGAAGGACCATCCTTGTGGATATTGAGCTCAGGGAGGATTGTGGTAGGAGTGCTGGAGAGAGTGAAAGGGAGTCAACAGATAAAATCTTCAGGCGATGGGGGGTCAGCGGATGACGGCAACAAGGCTGGAGAGTGGGTGGTATAATTTGATATTTTTTTCTTTGTTGTTTTAACTTCAAAAATATTCTACCTTTTTATTAGTGTTCTTCATTTTGGCCTTCAATTTTTTTGCTAGTTTTTAAATTGAGAGAGAGAGAGAACTTGATCCTTCCGTAAGTCATTTGAATACCTGTGTCCAGTCATGTGTCATCTGTCCATGGACTTTCCAGTTATATGAGACAATAAATCAGTGTCTTTTTTTTCTTTGGTAAATTTGAGTTGCATTCTGTCATGTGGTAGCAAAAAAACTCTGAAGATAAATTGTCTAATATCATGGATATCTTTCTGTGTCAGTGTTTACATTTTTCACTTTATTACTTAAAAATGGCTATATAATATTTCATTGCACAAATATATCACATTTTGTTTTATAAGATCCTATTGAAGATTGTTTCCAGTTTTTAAAAATGATAAATAGTTCTGAGGCAACCATCCATGTAGCATGCATTTATGTGCAGATACATCTGTAAGATAAGATTTTTGGGTCAATGAATATGGCATTGGAATTTTGATGCACCTGGAAAAGTGATCCATCCTCCTCCAAATTGTATACCAATTAATATTTTTAACAGCTGTATATGTAAGTATCTGTTTTCCCACATATTATTAACATTCTGATTATTTTCCTGAAGGAATAAATACTATCTCATTTTTATCTGTAATTATGGGTAAGACAAAAACAACTTACTTTCAAATGTTAAATTAACTGATTCATAATTGGTGGACTTTACATGGCACCTTTCTATGGCTGTATGTACCTAACAGTTCAATCCTCAGTAGTAGAGAGTAAACTAATTACCCCTTTGTCTAGTGGCTTCTTTTCTCACCTGTAAGTTACAATGCTGATCGCAGAAAACTTACAGAGGAAAATAGAGACAATAAGCATTCATGAAGTCTAAATGATTTCCACATTTGTCTCCAGCTTATACGAGAGCCATTAAGGTGGAAAGTGGGTTATTAAGAATTTCAAATTGTATGCCTCTATTCCTGCTTGCTGGTGGAGATGAGTAGGTAGTGTCAAGAGTCAGAAAAAAAGGAAACAAGAAAAAAGGGAGCTAGGTACTGCATAAACAGCACAGCAATTCCTGAAGCCCTAGGAATTGTCTCAAATTTAGCTAAAATTAAATCCAGATGTGGGCAGAAAGGGTCAAGGAGCTGGCATAAAATAAAATATGAAGGCATTACAAGTTTCTTATTAATCTGAACAGAAAATTCTCTAAAAAAAATTCCCTGTTCTTTACATTTCTAGAAGCAGTTCTCTTACCTGAAAGTTTTCTTTGATCCGTTCAGGGTTAAAGCTTTTAGGAATGACAACTACTCCTCGCTGTATGTTGAAACGCAAAGCAACTTGAGCGGCTGTCTTCTTGTACTTTTCTCCCAGTGAGTTTAGAAGTTCATCCTTTAACAAAGGTGGGGAAGATAGATTCACCCTTAAAAAGAAAAATCAAAATGTGCATCAGATTTAGCTCAAGTCATGAGAACCAGTGTTTCATCAATCACTCTCCTGCTGTGTCTCCCCATTCACCTGGGAATTTACCAGGACACATCATGTCAGGTCAACCAAGTTAAATTAACTAATTAATATTCCTAAGAGCATTCAATGAAGCGCTGCTCTTAGATTGGGAAGATCAGGAGAGGTAAATTTATAGAGCTTCCTCTTTCAACGGGTTAATACTTCTCTGATGGATCTTACAGAGAGAACTCAGTTGGAAGTAGGCATCTAGGGGAAGGCAGAATTACTCAAGTGGATAAATTAGAGCCTCTAACTCTTGGAATCATCTTAGAGGAGGGAAATTTCTAAAGTCTGTGGAACACATCACAGAGATTTTAAAAAGTCTAAAATTTCAGAATGTGGCCATAGAGACTCTGTAGATACTGTTGAAACTAACATTTATTGAGCATTTCCTATGTTTCAGCCGCTGTTAGGTAATTTCATACATACAATATAATCAGTTCTTGCAACACCTCAGTGAGGAAGGTTTTATTAGTTCTAAATTGGATATATGGAGGGTGATTTGAAGTGGTTAAATTACTTCCTTAAAGGCACACTTCTGAATAGAGTAATTCACATTAGCCTCATAACCTACACCAAAGGAAACACTTCCTGAAGAGACACAGAGCATTACTTACCAGACTGGATTCCTACAGGTCCCCAAAGGACTATATGCAATCATGATAATGTCATGCTGTTGGCAAAATTTCAGAAGTTTTGGCTGCGAAAAGTATGGATGGCACTCAACCTATGTGTTGCATTGGGGAGCAAAGCACAAAATTAAGGTCTGGTCGAGGAATGCAATTTTACATGGTTTTAAAAAAGTACTTAAATAAAATCCATTTGAAAGTATTATAGATAGTAAGTCAAATCCTAAATATTTTTCATAACAAGGAAGCTTCCATTGTTTACATACAGCTGGAATTAATTAAGACAGTGTTAGTGAGGTCACCATCTGTGGGTTCATTCTAAAATTATTGTGGCACAAATTCAATTTTGTATAGCTATCATTGTTGAAAACTTTAAGTGAACAGAGTCATTTATTTATAGTGAACATGCTAAAAAATACAATTTTCCATAACAAAAATATCTCAGCTTTCAGATTATTGTCTGATGAGTAGAAAAACACATTTTGCAAAAGCCTTCTGACCCCAGTTATCAAACATCTAAGCATATTTTCACAAGAAGCACAGCATGTGTAATTAAATTGAAGGGTGAATTTTGTTCTCCTGGCTAAGAGTTCTTTATGCTACTCAGTGTAAGCCTACTTTCATGTTCCGTATCTTATTGACAAGATTCCTGTACTAAAAATACTTATGACAACAAATTTCTCAGTTTCTTCTTAAACACTATGGTGGTTTTGACTTATGCCTTTCTTCTCTTTTTCATTAAAACCAACCAAGCCTTAATTAAAATATCTTAAGTACACAATTATTGCTTTTATTGTCTGGATATTGAATATTTGACAAATCACATTTCTAGATGGCACAAGGAAATTCTATTGACAAAGTAGGAGAAGCTGGGGCTTGTGGTGGTGCATCTTCTGGCTTTTAACTAACATGATATACTTTTTTTTAATGTCAGTTTCTCCTATTTTTTCTCTCCCCTCTCACCCTGTCATGATCTTGCTCCCTTACCCTAAGAAACACTTGAGGGTTTTTCCCTTTTTGGGGGATACCTTAAACAATTCTAAAAAGTGGCAGCTAGACTAAAATAAGTTAGGAGGCATTATGTCCGCAGTGTTTCTTTCCTTCACCCGCTCCCACTCCCAACATCATACCCCACTTTCAGTCCCTTCTTAATTTCTATCTTGTTCTTTATCAAATATACAGTAATAGACTAAATAGACTAAAATTTCCAAAACATGTGTTTTATCACGTCAGTCCACTACTTATCTCTACTTTGTACTTCTATTCCTATGTCTAACTTATTTTACAATTTGCAGTTCGTACCTCTTTATCTCCTTCACCTGCTTCACCCATCCCCTCCCACTGCCTTCCCTGTGGTAGGGAAGCAGTCTGTTGTCTACATTTGTGGGTCTATTTCTTTTTTGTTTGTTTTTTAGACTCCACATGTAAGTGAGATCACGTGGTATTTGTCTTTCTCTTCCTGGCTTACTTCACTTAGCATGATAACCTCTAGGGTCATCCATGTTGTTGCAAATGGCAAAATTTCCTTCTTTTTTATGGCTGAGCAATATTCCATCTGTGTGTGTGTGTGTGTGTGTGTGTACCACATCTTTATCCCTTCATCTATTGATGGGCACTTAGGTTGCTTCCATAACTTTGCTATTGTAAATACTGCCGCAATGAATGTAGGTGTGCATATATCTTTTTGAATTAGTGATTTTGTTTCCTTTGGATAAATACCCAGAAGTGGAATTGCTGTGTTGTATGGTATTTCTATTTTTAGTTTTTTTGAGGAACTTCCACATTGTTTTCCACAGTGGCTAGACCAATGTATTCCCACCAACAGTGTAAGAGGGTTCCCTTTTCTCCACATCCTTACCACCACCTATTTCTTGTCTGTTGGATAGTGGCCATTCTAACTGGTGTGAGATGATATTTCACTGTGGTTTTGATTTGCATTTCTCTGATGATTTGCAATGTGGAGCATCTTTTCATGTGTCTATTGGCCCATCTGTATGTCTTCTTTGGAAAAATGTTCAGGTCCTCTGGCCATTTTTTAATTGGATTAATTGAGTTTTTTGGTGTTGAGTTGTATGAATTCTTTATATATTTTGGATATTAGCCCATTATAGGACATACCATTTGAAAATACAGTCTCCCAAGCAGTAGGTTGCCTTTTTGTTTTGATGAGGGTTTCCTTTGCTGTACAGAAGCCTTTTAGTTTGATGCAATACCAATTGTTTCTTTTTGCTTTTGTTTCCCTTGCCCAGAGAGATGTGGCCAGAAAGAAATTTCTCATGTTGATGTTCATGAGATTCTTGCCTATGTTTTCTCCTAAGAGTTTTATAGTTTCCTGTCTTACATTTAGGTCTTTAATCCATTGAGAGTTTATTTTTGTGTATGGTGGAATGGTCATTTTTGTGTATGGGTCTGGTTTCATTCTCTTAAATGTAGCTGTCCAGTTCTCCCAACACCATTTATTGAAGAGATTGCCTTTTCCCTATTGTATATTCTTGCCTCCTTTGTCATATATTAAGTGACCCTATAATCATAGATGTATTTCTGGGTTCTCTATTCTATTCTGTTGGTGTATCTATCTGTTCTTGTGTCAGTGCTGTAATGTTTTAATAATTGTAGCTTTGTTGTATAGCTTGAAATCAGGGAGCATGATACCCCCAACTTTGTTGTTTTTTTTTCAAGATTACGTTGACTATTAAGGGTCTTTTATAGTTCTATGACATTTTAGAATTCTTTGCTCTAGTTCACAGAAAAATGCCATTGGTATTTTGATAGAGTTTTCATTGAATCTGCAGATTGCTTTGGACAGAATGGCCTTTTTGACAATACTAATTCTTCCTATCCATGAGCATAGGATAGTTTTCTATTTATTTGTGTTTTCTCCAATTTCTTTCATCAGTGTTTTATAGTTTTCAGAGTACTGGTCTTTCACTGCCTTGGTTAGGTTTATTCCTAGGTATTGATTCTTTTTGATGTAAATGGAATTGTTTTCTTGGTTTCTCTTTCTGCTAGTATGTAGTATGTAGGCATGCAATAGCAAAAACTTCCTTTTTTATTAAAGCATCGTTGATATAGAATCTTATAATGGTTTCAAATATACAACACAGTTGTTCAACATTCACCCATATTATCAAGTCCTCACCCCTCCATTGTGGTCACTGTCAATCAATGTAGTAAGATGTTATAGAGTCATTAATTGTATATTCTGTGCTATACTGCTGTCCCTGTGACCTACTCTTATTGTGATTGTGAATTATAGTGCTCCTTAATCCCCTTCTCCTTCCCCACCCACCCTCCTCATCCCCTCCCCTTTGGTAACCACTAGTCCCTCTTGGTGTCTATGAGTCTACTGCTACTTTGTTCCTTCTGTTTTGGTTTGTTTTTTATACTCCATAAATGAGTGAAATCATTCGTATTTGTCTTTCTCTACTTGGCTTATTTAACTGAGCATAATATCCTCTAGATCCATCCATTTTGTTGCAAATGGCAGGATTTCTTTTCTTTTTATGACTGAATCATATTCCATTGTGTACATGTACTATATCTTCTTTATCTATTTATCTATTGAAGGACACTTAGGTTGCTTCCCTATTTTGGCTATTGTAAATACTGCAGCGATAAACATAAGGGTGCATATGTCTTTTCAAATCAGGGATTTTGTTTTCTCCAGGTAAATTCCTAGGAGTGGAATTACTGGGTCAAATAGTATTTCTATTTGTAGTTTTCTGAGGAACCTCCATATTGCTTTCCACAACAGTTGAACCATTAACAGCAATTTTGAGTTAATATAATATAAACTCAAATATTCTATAAACTTATTTATAATGTAAATTCAGATATACTATAAACTCAAATATATTATCAACTCATATATACTATGTTATACTCTAGTATAAACCTTTGCATATGTAGTTGTTAGGTAAAAATTCTAGGGCATATCATTAAAGGGACACTCAGAGAAATTCTGGGGGTGGGGGTGGGCATGGATAAGCTAATATAATCTAAGTTCATATGAGCTCAGAGAACTACATTCCTTCTTTTCATAGCATTTATTTCAGTTTGTAATTATAAATAACTTGTGATTATTTGATTAATATCTGCTCAACACTTGACAGCTCACTCCACAAGAGCTAGGACTATGTCTGTCTTTGGTCACTTTTGCATGCCTAGAACCTAGAAAAATGCCTGGCATATGGCACGTGCTCAGTGACTATTTGTTGAATGAATGCAAGTAATAACTGCACAAAGAGGACAAAGCCAGGATCTTAGGAAACATCACTATTGCTGCTGCGTACTGCTGCTGGCTGGGCTTTGGAAGGGCTGCAGCATGGTAGGGTCACTGCAGGCCAGGGAATAATCTTGCGGAGCAGGCTGGGCCCAGATGCTCAGTTTAAGGTAAGGGTGATGATAGTTTCTCATGTCACAGGGCCTTGATGTCACCGTCACCCTGGAGTTTTCTCAGTACCAAGTTGAAGTGTATCTATACACACTTGCCTTCCTTCTTTGCTGGAGACTGGTTATAGTCCTCTGAATGAGCCAGTAGAGATACAGTCTTAACTTTTTCTTGTTATGTAAAACTGATGTAATTTGTCAACGTCTTGACATGTCTCTGTCATTTATAACACTGTTTGGTAATGCCACACTTTAGATATAAAAATCTCACAAGATGATGCCATTTAAAAAAGTTTCAGTGATATTCAGCTTTTTGCTCTTGGGCTTTATAAATCACAGTACTATGCTAAAGCATGAATAAGCACAGCTGAAAATGCACGATCACAGAGGACCACTGAATTATTAAGAGACTTTCAAATGAGTATTTTCTTTAGGAAGACCTATGCAAAACATCATTATAATGGTTTGGAAGCAATGCCACAGACACACAACCCCGTAGAGGGATAAAATAGCAAATAAATTATATCAAGGAAGAATGACAGAAATATCAAACTGAGTGATCTTAAAGATCCAGCTCAAACCTGCAAGTCTGTAACTGAGTCAACTGAAGCTTGGAGTGGTGCATGGCTGCTAAGGCCTTCCATCTAGTGAGGAACGGCAGACTGACACTGAGAACCAGGCCTGGCTCTGTACCACACAACATACACATTTATAAAAAAGTGCTAGAATGTACCAGTGAAACCAGTTGTAAAACTCAGATAATTCTCATTA